ATGTGCTCCACAAACGCGCCGTTTACTTCGCGGAGAACGAGCAGTAGGGAAGCGTAGTGTCCCCACGTCATTTGAAACTCCCCATCCTCGTTGGAAGGGGTTGCCGAGGCCGAGACATACGCGGCGGAGAAGTCCTGCTTAGGCGCCCACGGGGCAAGGTATACGACCGCATTAATCCCCAAAGAGATGACCTCCCACGCAGCAATCCACTCCCTCCTCGGAATCCGTCGTCTCCTCTCGCGAAAGAAGTGTACCGACACGATAAACCACAGCACCACGGCATCAACCCAAATCGCAGTCACCGACTTTACCAACCCGGTGATCACCATATCCACGATATGTTGCTTCGCGTATGCGGAGATTGAGAAGAGGGCAAAGATCAAGGGATGGGGCGCGATCTCCGCAATCAAGACCAAGACTACCGTGGTGAAGAAGACGTAGCTTATAAAGGGTTTGATGAAGATGGAGGTGATGCTGTGGAGAACGATGTCGTCTAAGCAGCCGCAGATGAAGTTTTTCGCGCGTCGGGGGATGAGATTGGGGAGGGATTGGAAGTAGGTGTATACACCTCCCAGTTTGCCGGTCTCGCTTTTGGATTCGTCCATTGTCGATGGTCTTTGTCGTTGGTTTCTGGTTAGTGTCCGATTGATATTTGTAAGGGGGTTGAGGTTGACTTACGGTTAGATGGAGCTATTTCTAGTATCCTCTTGCAGATTGGCGGTGAAGTACAATTAGATGACACTGCCGCTGAGTTTTTGTCGTTAGCTCTAGTGTATTCGATGGTTCATAAGTCACAGCTGGGAAAAAGACCTACGGGAAACCTGACTTGACTTATAGCGTTGGCACTTTCCATCTCCGAAACGAAGATGATGGTCGTGAGGCACGGTGTCGGAGTAGAATCATCGGAATGACCAACACGTCAACGGAGATACCTCAAGCGTTTCACGGTTCGAAGGCCATTCTTGCTAGGGACTTTCCACTTGCGCCCGGAGATCGCGTGCAATATGGCCTATCATAAGCATTGCCGTACACTAGAGGAGGAAGAACAGCGGCAACCGCGTTCTTCTCAGGCAACATCATCCAAACCAAGCACTGAATTGTGTTTCTGAACTGGCTCCCATGCTTCTCCGGAACTGTAGCAGTTATGAGTATATCTGAGGGAGACAACCGTCATGCCGTCAAGCTCACGTACGGACGGTCTTGGTCCCGAAATTTCGTGATGGGACGAGGGAGGACGTCTATAAAGGCACATGCGCAACCTGGGGCGCCACCAACGACAGAACTCCAAGGTCAAGGCGCCTGAACGATTTCTTGTACCACGAATTCACATATTCGTGTTAGGAAATATCTAGAAACTAGGGTCGTGACCGCGCGCAAAGATAAGAAATGGAAATCCAACGACAAGCAGAGAGAATAAGAGAAAGGTGCACCAGAATCTCAAGCCCTCCAACTTCATGTTACCGGATACCCTCTACCGGAGACCGATAGAGAACAGGCTGCCGTCGATGATTCTATAGAGCCATTGACTTATTAACGATATCACGTTTACACAGGTGCTTAAAAGTAGTAGATCATCATGGCTCAGCGTATCTTGAGCTCCCTCCGTTCCCACCCGAAAGCGTCCGGACATACGTGTGTCCCATATTCTCCGAAATTGATCTTGAACATGCTCAATCTCTGCCAAGTCGACCCGCCATCGGACGACACCAATCCCAGACAATGGAGTTGACCGTGTCCCGCAAAGATACACGACCTAATGCAAAGGCAAAGAGCTCGAGACTCATCTAACAATTCATCTTGCGAAATGTCGTAGGATTCCAGTGCAATTTCGTCCAAGTCATCCAAATATGGCCACTCAACGATGGCTCTCTTAAGGCCTGGGCTGGTGTTCGTCCACGATTCAGCCCTGGTGACATATTTCTTCTCATTGGACAGGGACCACAATGCTTTGAATCCAAAAGTCAGTCCCGTCACAAGGATGAACTCTATGGTGCCCTCATCTCGGTCGTCCATCAACTTGTAGATCCGCTCCTTCGTCATGGAAGCCCACTTGAAGGTGAACCCATCCGCATACCGAAGTGAAACTTGTACAGTAGGCACAAAACTCGCAGACTGGCCCACCCACAAATCGAAGCATGGAGCCCATGGGCTATATCTCGATAACTCGGAGTCCCGTGAGACATGCCATCCCAGCCACGTCCAACTCTGCCCCCCAGCGCGTCTTTGGGGCCGAGACGAAGATGCTGGCTTTTCCCAAAGCAAAGCCGACGAAAATTCGCAATCATTTCCTATCCTTATTCCACAAAACAAGACATATGTCCCCATGTGGACATGGTTGTAATGAGACTGACATCCTTGAAATGCGCGAAAGACGTCTGCCTCGAAAGAAAGCTCCCGGGTTGCATAGCTTCCCGCGTGGGGAATAGAACCTAACTCATTTATATCATCCCATGCGGTCCCGTTCTTTGGGCAAAGTTGATTCGGCAAGCCTTCGATGTAGCTTTCTCCCTTATTTCCATTCTCCAAAAGGGCGAAGTGGTCGGTGAAGTACAGTCGCCTCGTTGATAAAGCTGCCTCCTGACAAGTCCAAGCTCTCGTATTCCACTTGGAGTGCTGGATCTGCTGCTCAACCCATACTGCATCGGTGGGCGTTCGTCTGATGGTATGAGATCCGATTTGGAAAGTGTCAAGTACTTTTCGCAGTGTCTTCCCAACCCCAGGAAGACCGTAGTCCGGACATTGGCCTGCTGCAGCAACGATGGTGATGCAGGACCGGGCATAGATGAGGTTCATGTTGCAGATCTGGTCGTGGGCTTCTTTTGCACAATGTTGAGGGATACAATAGCGATCGACCCAAAGATACCGGAATCCTAGCGAAGCCGTTACAGTCTTTGCATCTTCGATGACTCGAGGCACGGATGCGGGCAGTTTGCGACCAAGCCTTGGACAATCGCTCTGTGCGGACCCCCAGACATAACTCAGGGTAGCGTACTCGACTGCATCGAAGGACCCCGCCGACGCAACGCAATCCTCGAGGTTGAGAATTTTGTCCGTGAAGCAGTCTATGACACTCCACCCAGGTAGTCCCTGTCGAAACAATGCTTCCCAATTCTGACCTCCCTCTGATTTGAGATGATGCCGGCAAGCCTCGCGCGCCAAGGCAGACTTGATGGATAACAAGTCTGCTGACAGTTTGGGATCTGGCTGGCCGGGTTGGACCAACTTGAAAGTGCGATCCATGGGGCAGGTTCTGATGTATCTCGCCGTTAAACCGTCACTCGGACTTGGCTTACGGTCAACTTCAACCAAAGAACACACTTTGAGATGTGGACGAGCAAGTTTTTTGTTCTTCATTCGTAGATCATACTGTTTTCGCGAAGAGTGCAAGTAATACACAAGGTAAGTGTGGTAACCTTTAACTTGACGATCCTTGAAAACATCGTAACAGGGACAAGCAGAGGTCTTCTCGACGTGATCGACTTCAATGCCTACCATCTCTACCGCGCCGTTGTCATCACATACTAGCAGCGCAAATGGGGAGTCTGGAGAATCTAGTCCGAGATAGCGCTTGTCGATGTCGTGTAACGATTTGCCCACCACACCTTTGGCATGATGAATGAAGGAATCAAAGTCGATGGACGCACAGGCCGAGCAGAGGTTGTTTTCACCCGATAAGAAGGAGGTGGCGCTTTCTGACATTGCTGTCACTGGAAACATTCGAATTTGGTGAATTTGGTGATAGCGGTGGGTTGATGGCGAACAATTGGAACTTGGAACTGAGCTCGAAACGACGACCAACAGTGAGGCTGTTGGATTGCTGCCTTGGCCAAGCACCAACCATGTCGCAGATGACTTCACGCGAAGCCTGATCTAGCCCTTGAGAGCTTTGAATGGTCCGTCCCATCGTGTCGAAATGGTGATTCGTGGAAAGGAATGTTTTGATCTTGATTTCGAAGCGTCAATTGATGTGCGAACGGTGTTCATCTGAGAACAATGAAGGCAACCATTAGCTGTCCGACGGCCCATCTTTGGACAAGAGGTCGATGGGCATAGCTGAAGCCTCGAAGGAAAGGATGCAGATCCGAATGCGAGCAAGAACTTGGTTGCTCAAGATCCAACCAACGAATCGAGGGACTAGAGAAGAATGGCCATTGTCGCTTCGCAAACCTGCATCGATGCAACCTTCCCCACCCCGCCCATCCTCCGTCAAGTCCGTCCACAAGTCAACCAGGACGGCGGCTCGAGAGCCAGCCTAGGCCCCTGCAGCAGCGTGTTCGATCTGGGATGGGCCGCGGGCGGGACAGGCAACCTTGTCACATTGTTAGTTGTTGCGGCGCAGAGATTTCGCACCGACCAGGTAATTGGAGCTGAACGATCTATCCGTACTGTCAAGTTGCAGCTCCAGGGAAGGCCATAGATTGCTTGCCGTCTTGGCGAGGGGTCGAGCCTTTCCGTACCCACTGTGGAGGAAAGGAAAGAAGAAGGGAAAAGGCCTAGGTTGAAAACGATATTGAGGGCAAGCCACAAAGAGCAGGCCAGACCAACGGGCCCATGACGGATCACATTCAGACCTGTCCACCCAACTTGCATGTATTGGCGAAGTCAAGTAATTGACGCATGGGTGGCCTGAGCTGTCATTCCCTCCGTCATGCCCTCAAATAAAGCTCCAACGTGCTGTACTTTGGAGTTTCGCCAAGCTCCTGTTTGTGCGCCACGGCCGAGCGTTGGCTGATGGTGAATGACCAGTGCCTCGTACAACTGTAGCTGCAAGTTGCCTCCTTATTCGTCGCATGATACAAGTTCAGGCTGAATCTGCGCTTTTAAAGATCGGGCCATCTCCCAGAATACTCGTCAACTTCTTGATGCTCGAGTGGCACAGAGGCGACAACAAAAGAGTCTGACAACATCAGAGCAAGCTCTGATCGGAACTGACCGAGACTGAAGCATCGAAGCGCAAGGCGGTGGCCGTTCTTTACTGCGCACATCGTCCAATGACCGCAATGACGGGGCTTTCGACAGCAGATGAGCAGACAAGCGAGACGCTGTTGGCATCTGGTGGAACCGCTAGAACACCGTCTCTAGAAGAGCTCCGAGACAAAGAACACAAGGCTCATATCTCTATGGGCATCGGATCTGAGACACTTTCTGCGAGCAGACACGAGCTGCCAGCCGCTTTTGCGACGCGAGAGGATGATGGCATCCCTGGTCAGGCATGGACCTCAAAAAAGCAATATGTGGCGCCCGACGGTCAACTCGTGCTCCCGCAACACGAGGAGCGAAACCTCGGGCTCTCTTCTCAACTTGCAGAAAACACAACAGAACCCGCCATTGCGCACTCAAACCAGCAACGAATGATCGACTCAATGACGGACGCGACAGCATCGGCGCCAGCTAAGAAGGAGAAGCCGCCCAGGCTCGATCGGCTATCCGATGACCCCGCGGCGGCCAAGACAGACACTAGCGAACCCGTGGGAAGGACTCAAGCAGCACCCGATGTGGTATCTGCCAACCGTAACGCATATGAGGCGAACCAACACCTGCCTCGCGATGTATTTCCTGCGCTGCGGTCGCCTTTGACGCATCCCAATGGCGTCTCGATTTTCCCAGATCTGTCGGTCGAGCAAGAGGTCACAGAATCGTCGGAAGCTGCAACGCAAGCCGAAAGCTCCATCGTGGCAGACAGTGACGACATGGCCTCGATTTTCGACGGCACAGAGTCGGATGGCGGATACGGAAGCGACAGTGCGACAAATGCCAGTACGTCCGTCACGTCATCAGTCCGAGATTATATGTACGAGAATGGGCGACGCTATCACCGCTTCCGAGAAGGACTGTACAACTTTCCCAACGACGAGGTGGAGCAGGAGCGTGAAGACATGAAGCATGCCATGGTGAAGCTCCTGTGCAATCAGAAGCTGCACTTTGCACCCATTGGCGAGTGGCCGCAGCAAATTCTGGACATCGGGACGGGGACAGGCGCATGGGCTATTGAGAGTAAGTTGAGAGACTCGGTTTTTTTTTTTTTTTTTTTTTTTTTTTGGCAGAGTTGGTGAAGAGTTCGTGATGTTAACGACGATGTAGTGGGCGACCAGTTTGAGAGTGCAACAGTGCTGGGAGTCGATCTCAGCCCCATTCAACCGGACTGGGTACCGCCAAATGTCAAATTTGAGGTCGACGATGTGGAAAGTTCGTGGTTGTATCCAAGGAATCATTTCGATTATATCCATTCTCGACACACGGTTATGGCCATCAAGAACTGGAGAAACCTGTTCCATAGGGCATACGAGTAAGTCGCATGTCTACGACTTGTCAATGGCAGGCCTAATACGTTAATAGGCACCTGAAACCCGGCGGCTGGATCGAATTGCAAGAGATCCATCACTTCCCGTCATCGGCATACAACGCCATGCCGCCCTCACACCCGGTGGCTCAGTATTGGAGTTTCGTAACCCAGGGACTCACGAGCCTCGGCATCGACTTTAATGCTGCCGCAGGTGACCGGCTGCCTAATATGATGCGCGAGGCCGGGCTCGTCAACGTGACGGAGAAGATTTTCCACGTACCGCTTGGTACGTGGCCGCGAAACAGGGTGCTCAAGACAGTAGGCATGTACTGGAGGACGATTCTTCTCGACGGACTGCAGGCGATTGCCCTCGGCCCACTGACCAGAGGGTTGCTATGGACACCAGAGCAGATTGAAATGTTCCTCGTCAGCGTGCGGCGAGCGTATCACGATAATGCGGCGTTGATGTACATGCCATTGCGGATCATGTATGCGCAAAAGCCGGCGTATGGGGATTTCCCTAGGTATTCGTAGTGCACTGAGGAAGAGCTCCTAGGTATTAGTCCTAAGGCGGGTTTTGCTTCGAGATAGGGTCTGTGGCGTCGTGGAGGGCCATTAGCCACTGTTTAACTCCATCGTTTTGCATTACTAGAGGATTACCGCAGTACATATAGACGCTACCCTACCCTCGAATTCCGCACTATTTAACCTCAACCCTTTTTATAAGTCACCTATCCTTTCCTCTATTCTACCCTCTCCCTTATTAAAAGATCGCTAGAATCGTAGTTTCGATAGCTTATTAATAAGCTAGTATTACTATCTAGAGGTAAGTAACTTACTCTTATACATAGGCGCCGGGAGTCTTATTATTACGGAGATAGTAGTAGATATACCGGAGTACTCGAGAGAGCTTTTTAATAGACTTCTAATACTATCTAAGGTAATTATCCTCGAGCTATAAAAAGAAGCCGAAGTGCTATATTAATACGGCCCTATCCGTCTTGTTAGTACTAATAATACCCTTTTTAGTATAGAATATATTAATAATACTCTATAACCGCGTTATTATACTTTATAAATCGTACCTAATATTAATAAGGATTTTAGCGTTATTTACTAAGTATTTTATTAAGGTCGTTATCGTAGGGTTAGTTTAGTTATTAGTATCTTAGTAAGTATTTTAACTTAACTTAGAAGCTCTTATAGCTTTTAATAAGAGGCTTTTAAGGGACTTATAATTAGACTTTTTGCTTATTATGGGCGAAGCTATTACGGTTAAAGCTATAGCGATTAAAGCTATAGCGCTACTTATAGACCTCGATAGTAAGTAGTTAGTAATATAGTTATTTTTTTTTTATAATAAGTTTAAAAAAGTATCTTAATTTAAGTACTAGGTGGGCACTATACTATTTTATTAAAACTATATTCTTGTACTTGTGACTTAGAAAGAATTAACTTTCTTCGATAACAAAGTACTCAGAGGGCCATTAGCGTTTAGTATTGAGCGAGTGTCTGTTCTGGCATTCTGCAAGCGGAGTGGGTTTGTGCGACTTAGACGAGCTTGGTGGTGTGTAGGTTCGGTATGGTCGTCATTACGGACGTATCATGTATGGGTTTCTGCTTGGCGAGGGGATGTGAAGAGTGACGAGACGGTCGGCTAGAAGGTGCACATGGGTAGCCGCATCGTGGTCGGGTCTTGGCGACAAGAGGCGAGATTGCAAGAGGAGCATAGTTTTCGTGATGAGGTGACATGGGCGAGCGCTAGACAACGAGCTTCTGCGGTGTCTGATGGAAGGGGAATAGGATCAAGTAATGTGGTGCAAGCCGTGGCTTAGGAGGAGGAGAAAGGAGGGCGGAAGACGGGCGGCATTGGCTGATGGAGCACGTTGCCGTTGCATTGCAAGAAGACGACCAGGGATTTCAGGACGCCATTTCCCAGGTTCGGAACCTCGGGTACCCTCTCTCGTGCTTTTCAGCAGGGGGGAGAGGGATGGAACTTGCATGGAAGCCGTCAATGGTTCAGTTGTTAGGTTCCTTCCGAAAGAAAAAACAGAGAGACATGTCCGTAGCGAGGGCCAGAACCACTTAATTCCCGCTGCAGTTGCTGGTTGAGACTCCACCTGACGGTAAGCCTCAAGGTATTGAACAAGTCCATTGGTCAATGGTTGGTCAGGTCTTTCCACGTTGTTGACGGGATGGAAAGACCGGGTTGTAATGGTGCTGTGCCGCACCTTCCCAACACTGTCAACTTGTCAAGCCCAATTGGAAAGTGCGCAGGACAGCCCGTCACCGGTGTCGTGGAAGCCGCCCGTGGGAAGGTGCCCACCGCCTGTGTGGTAACGAGGCGGGGGATACCTGACTATGGTACTTCGGTAAGGTAGATGGAAGGGAAGGGACAGCCCGTTGTGGTGCACCCACACTGCAGGAAGTGAGTGACTGGCAACTGCACTCGTCTGCACCTTCCATGCTTTCCCCTCCTTGCCTTCCTCCCCGACTCGACAAAGCTCAGGTGTCACTGGTCAGTCTGCCATGCTGCCACCTGCCACGAGACGAGACGCCAGACGGGACCCGGGAGGATTGCCTTTCCTCCCTTTCCTAACCAGGAAACATCCCACACATCCCAGGCCGGCCGCCGCCTGCCATCGATCAACCGGAAACTTGACATCTGACCACGGCAACTATGCGAGAAAATGTGACCAGTCTCTTTCCCGTTCCTTCCTCTCACGTCTGTTCCGAACCCACGCCGGTCAATTGACGAACAGGTTCCCAAATCAACGGCACTGCAGAATTCCCCGTTCAACGGCGGGCGGGATTCGTCAACGAATTGATACGACGCTGCCACCGGTCAAACTACCTCACCTTACCTCTCGTCACAGTCCTTACTGCGTAGGGTCCTTAACGGCGACCACCGCTTTTGTCTGCCCTGTCCCATTTGGTTTCAATTTACCCGTTCGACTCCCGGCCGGGCCCCTGTCCGTCTCGCTGATCCCACTTCTCAGTCATCAGTCCTCACACGGCTTCGGTCTCGGTCGACATTCAACTCTGAACGGAGAGCTCATCATGACATTTGTCGACGATGCCAATTCAGAACTGCTTCGCCACGGGGGCTTACGAGCTTAACAGCCATGCAGCTTAGCTTGGGGGAAGCTTGGGACCCTGAGCGATCGTCGATGGCTCCGCGCCGGCGCATGGCCTTCGTCCGAACAGACTCTTCTAGCCGCCAGCCACTCCCAAGCTTAAAAAGCCCGGCGAGTCGAGGACAAGGAGAGACTTGGACGCAAAAGGCACGCAACGCAGACGGCAATCCCAGCCCATGGCGTCGGATCCCAAAGCATGGACCGCCGCTAGCTAATGAGGTGTCGTCGCAATACTGAGCGATTCAGCGCCCATCCCAGTTCCTGTTCCGTCCAAGGCCCACGCTCGGTGAACCAAGAGTTCCATCCTCGCTGCTTCGTTCCATTTGTGTCTGGCTCTCTACCTTAGTCTCTACCTCCCGTCAGTAACGTACCTCTTTGCCTCTGCCTCTGCTCATCTACCAAGTAGTACTCTGGGTCCCCTAGGTACCTTACCTTACCTTCCCAGTACCCATCGCCCAATGCCGTCCGTCGTATTAAACTGGGATGTATCCCTCCTTGCCGTCCCCTTGGGTCCCTCTGGTGTTTTGATGAGAGTTTTCGATTGTTTCCCCCCAAACTTCTCGGCGCTCACAAACTCATCGCCGCAAACTCACTGCAAACTTGTTTACCAGACAAACCGATTAGACCTCGATTTCCCGTGTCCGTACTTCACAGCCATTGGCGAACTTGGTATAAAGCCATCACCGTTTCTTTTGCATGCCAGCTGGCCCTGATTTGTGTCAGTCGAGACCGAGTCCGTGTCCTCGGGTCCCTCTGTGTCACAATCGTTCCGAGCGTCGCCGCAACCCTGTCTGTCACCTCTATCCGCGAATTTGTCGCCCAACCTATTTCAGAGGATCGCGGGAATCGACTCCCGTGTAGTTCTGAGGCATTTGGAAGGTGTGTACAAGTGCCTTTCTTACCATCTTCTTCCCTCATATCGAATGCATCTCCAAAGTAGCCTCCCGAATAGTCCTTGCCCCCATATCTTGTTGCCCCGCAGCTTCATCGTCTGGCGCGTCCCTTCACCATGTACCTGCCTTAGCCCAATCTAGCTCAATCTCAAGCTCGAGCACAGAGGGCTAATGAAGGCGGAGTCTGCGATCAACGATGCTAGTGCTCCTGTATCTCAAGCGGGTGAACCGCCCCCTTTCCTGGCGCAAGCAATTCCCTTCACCCATGCTAACTAGAAAAGCACAAAGTCCTCGCGACACCCGCAGACCATCAACATCTTCGTTCTGACTGCCACCGCAAAGATGAACAAATTCAAGTTTAGCAACTGGCTGGGTACCAGCCCGTCACCCACCGCCGCAGAGGTTGAGCAGAAGAAGCAAAACCGACGATCATTCACCCCATTCATTACTCGTTCTGCCGCCAAACCCAGAGACGATGTCCCCAATGGAGCGCCGATTGCAAAGCCCGCGCCTGTCGCCTCGGAGAAGCCTACGTACTCGCCGTCGAGGTTAACGGAGCTTGCTGAGAAGATTGCATCCGAAACAGAGAAGCTGGAGAGGTACATGCAAGAGAACAATCTTCCAATGCCTTCCTTGGATCCAAATGGCCCCGGCGACTTTCCCAAGCTTCCCGAGGACATCCAAAAGAGTCGTATGGAGATCATCTTTGCGACGAGAGAGCTCGAAGCATTGGCTCACGGCCCGAGAGAGGACGTTCGGTGGAAGACGTGGAGTGTGAGTAGAGAGGTCTGGAAAATGGTAAAGGTCGTAAGCTGATTAGTTGGACAGTTTCAAGACAGTCTGAGCCTACAGCTTGTCAACCACTTCGGCATCGGTAAGCCCAAGACTGCAGAGCTGGGAGGTTTCTCTACCGTACCCGAGACTAACATTTCCTAGCCAAGCTCGTACCCATCGACGGCACTATCACACTGGCAGAGCTCCAAACCAAGACGACACTGGATCCCGTTAACCTTGCCCGTGTCCTGCGTCATGTCATGACAAACCGTATCTTCCGCGAGCCGTCCCATGGAGTGATTGCGCATACCGCGGCATCACGCCTCCTGGCCGAAGACCAAGCTCTTCAGGATTGGGTGGGCTACAACCTCGAGGACAACTTCCCAGCGTCTGCGCACGTTTTGCAGGCTCTCAAGGCCTACCCAGAAGCCACGTCCCTCACACGAACCGGCTTCAACTTTGCATTCGACACCGTAGACAAGGAGCCAATGTTTGTCACCTTTGGCAAGGACCCTCCTCGCGCCAAGCGATTCGGCGGTGCCATGCTTAGCTTGACGGGCGGAGAGGGCTACGAGGTCAGGCATCTCGTCGACTCGTACGATTTCGAAGAGATTGACGCCAGGGGAGGAACCATGGTCGACATTGGCGGTAGCCATGGGTTCGTGTCGATCGACCTGGCCAAGAAGTGGAAGAACATGAAGTTTGTGGTTCAGGACCTCCCCAAGACTGT